TAAAGCAAATTGAGCTGGTAGGTTTCAATAAGATTGAAATGTAACTGTTGACGGATGAAGGTCAATCACCCATACAAACAGCTCCGCTCTGTCATCGATAGAGCTACAAATGACAAACATTGTTGTTACCCCTAAAGGGTCATGGAAATGGGAAACACGAGAAAAATCTCTGGATATATATGATTATCAGAAATAGCACATTTAATGTCCAAAATGGCTGCTAGTTGCCTGTGACATAAAAATATACATCTAATGTATTTGTAAAAAGTTTGAAAAGGATATGTCAACAACTGTGTGAGCTATGACTCCTGATATATTCACAGATAGACTGACCGAACCGACCCAAAATAACAGTCCTCACTTTCGGACTTTGTCCAAAGCAGAGACTAAAAACAGGTGCACTATAATCTATGTCTAACGTTTGGTGCTGCAGTTTCACTACAAGAGATGTACAAAATCAGGAAATAGCTAATTTTACTCAGATGTTTTATTATTATTTTTTGTAATGTTCTTTTAAGGGCAACAAAAACCAAAGACATTAATGTGTATGTGGGAATTTCACAAGCGCTTAAAGCTTACTGAATGGTATTACAGTCTGAATCTCATTTGTAGTTTTGGCTTACCTGCACACAATGAATCTGGTATCTTCTCAATTTTATTGAAAGATAGATTCAATGTCGTCATACTCTTCAATTTACCAATCTCATCTGGTATAGCAGTCAATGCATTATGTTCCATGTTGAGGTCTGTCAACTTTTCTAATGCACACAATGAATCTGGTATCTTCTCCATTTTATTGTTATCTAGATTCAATATCTTCATACTCTTCAATTTACCAATCTCATCTGGTATAGAAGTCAATGCATTCGACCTAATGTCAAGTTCTGTCAACTGTTGTAATGCACACAATGAATCTGGTATCTTCTCCATTTTATTGTTATCTAGATTCAATATCTTCATACTCTTCAATTTACTAATCTCATCTGGTATAGCAGTCAATGCATTGGATCTCATGATAAGTTCTGTCAACTGGTCTAATGCACACAATGAAGCTGGTATCTTCTCAATTTTATTGGATGATAGATTCAATGTCTTCATACTCTTCAATTTACCAATCTCATCTGGTACAGAAGTCAATGCATTCGACCTCATGTTAAGTTCTGTCAACTGTTCTAATGCACACAATGAATCTGGTATCTTCTCAATTTTATTAAAAGATAGATTCAATGTCTCCATACTCTTCAATTTACCAATCTCATCTGGTATAGAAGTCAATGCATTGCCATTCATGTAAAGTTCTGTCAACTGTTGTAATGCACACAATGAAGCTGGTATCTTCTTCATTTTATTGTTATCTAGATTCAATATCTTCATACTCTTCAATTTACTAATCTCATCTGGTATAGAAGTCAATGCATTCGACGCCATGTTAAGTTCTGTCAACTTTTCTAATGCACACAATGAATCTGGTATCTTGTCAATTTTATTAAAATATAGATTCAATATCTTCATACTCTTCAATTTACTAATCTCATCTGGTATAGAAGTCAATGCATTGCCATTCATGTAAAGTTCTGTCAACTGTTGTAATGCACACAATGAAGCTGGTATCTTCTTCATTTTATTGTTATCTAGATTCAATATCTTCATACTCTTCAATTTACTAATCTCATCTGGTATAGAAGTCAATGCATTCGACGCCATGTT